CTACATAATACACTAGCGACCTTTTAGGCGTATATTAACCGTGCCCTAGTAGGGTTAATAGATATAATCTACGTAGTATACTTAGATAATATACTTATCTATAGCGCATCGCGCGAGCAGTACGAGCGAGACGTTTCCGCTATACTAGAGAGACTTAGGAAGTTTTAACTATACTATTAACTAAAGAAGTATAAGTTCTTCTAAACGTTAATCGACTTCCTCGGATTCGTCGTTATAACCTACGGTATTACGATAGATACTCGTARGGTAGACGTAATCGCGRAGTAGCCGAGGCCGTTAACCCTAAARGATRTYYAGTYYTTTYTAGGGTTTAYRAACTTCTATAGGCGGTTTATTAGATAGTATTTAAAGATTRTRAAACCTCTAACCGACCTTTTAAAGGGAGCCTATAAAGGTAAGAAGCTAGGGAAAGTYCTATARGGCGCYRACGAGGAGYAAGCGTTTTAGCTACTTAAAGCYRCGTTCTARAYAGCACCGCTATTAAGACACTTYRACCCTACGCTTCGCTTACGAATCGAGACCGATACGTCYRAYTTCGCGCTTACGGCAATTATATCCTAGCTRTTCGAAGATAGATAGTAGCACCCTATTACCTTTTAGTYWAGGAAATTAATTCCGGCCGAGTATAACTACGAAGTRYACGATAARGAACTRCTAGTAGTTATTATAGYRTTTAAATAGTAGCGTCCGTACCTCGACGGCGCTACGTATACGATTTAAGTAATCGTCGACTATACGAACCTACGTACTTTTATAATAATAAAGCAGCTCCTTAGTCGACAAGCTCGATAGGTAGTGTAGTTAGCACCCTACGACTTTATAATCGAACATCGCGTAGGGAGCAAAAACCCCGCGGATAGTCCTAGTAGGCGTAGCGACTACGAGTCGTAGACTACGGAAGTAACTAAGCATATAAATATGCTACTACTAACGCTATAGAACAAGCTACTTAACTAGTAAGAAAATATACTTAACTAGCAGGACGAGCCTATAGTAGAGAGGATTATTGCGACATATAATCGAATCCGTATATAGGGCTTCGTACGCGAACATACCGCGATATAGAGGCGAGGAGCGTACACTTACGACCTCTCTTCCCCTATTCGAGTTGCCGTAGCTCTAGCTACGACGGACTTACCCTTCGGCAATGTTTTAGAGATTATTCTCGGATCCGCTAAAGCACTCGTTAATATAGACCTAAGTGCGAAGAGCATACGAGACGCTACTAAAGCGTAGGGTAAATGTGACGGCTATATATACAAAGACGGTAATCTTTTTTATAATAATGCGCTATATATCCCTAAGGACTTCGCTCTAAGGTCGCAAGTAATACGTATGTATTACGACGACGTACTCGCTAGCCACTTTAGCAAAACAAAGACTTTAGAGCTAATATAGCGAAAGTACTATTAGCCGAAGATAGTAGACGAGGTAGCGGAATACATTAAAGGATATAATATATGCCTCGTAAGTAAGGCGCGGCATTATCGCCTATACGGCGAAATAAATGCTCTACTTATACCTAATCGGCCGTAGTAGGAGATCTCGATAGATTTTATTATAGACTTGCCTCCGAGCGAGCGAGTCGGTAGCGTATATACCGCTATACTAGTAATCGTCGATAGATATAGCAAGATAGTTATCTTCGTGCCTACTACTAAGTAATACAATATAGTAGAGCTTACTAATATCTTCGTAAACTACGTAGTACGGCATTACGGCCTACCTAGTAGTATTATAAGCGATAGAGGTTCTATATTTACTAGCTAGTTCTAGTCTAACTTCTACTTCGAGACGTAGGTAAGGCGTAAGCTAAGTACCGCCTTTTACCCTTAGATAGATAGTTAGATAGAAAAAGCAAATTAAACGCTCGAGTAGTACCTACGATGCTACTACGGCACGTAATAGGACCGCTAGGTAGAGATGTTGTTAATAGCCGAGTTTGTATATAATAACAGCGTTTATATAGGACTTAAGATAAGTCCTTTTAAGATCCTCTACGGATTCAACCCTTTACTAGCGGAGCGTATACGCCTAGTAGACAATAATGTCGCTCGGGGCGAGCTCTAGGAGGGGAGAATGCCGGTAGTAATAGACGTAGCGAAGCGCCTAGAGGACGTATATAAGGAGCTTTCGGAGCGCTAGCGCTATGCGTTAGAATAGCAAGCAAAGTACTATAATAAGAACTACAAGCTAGTAAGCTTTAACGTTTTAATCTAGTTATGCTAAGTATAAAGGACCTTAAGCTAGATGTTCTAAAGAAGAAGATAGGGCTAAAGTACTTAGGCCTATATCGCGTAATTAACGTAGTCGGGAAGTAGGCGTATCGCCTTACYCTCCCCTCCTCGTCGAGAATAYATAACGTTTTYTACGTAATATTRCTAGAACTATATATAGGTCGGAGAAGTAATRCGCTTAAGYAGCGTATACTACTCGCGGCTAACGAYAATAGGYAATAGGAARTTAAGGAGATTCTTAAGARGAAAGTCGTAAAAGGGAAACTACTATACTTAATAAAGTAGCTTAGATAGCCTTTAGAGTATAATTAGTAGGAACCTTACGAACATATAGCAGACTACGAAGCTCTTAATAGGTTCGAAGCGAAGGCGCCTCGTAAGCGAGGTCGTCGCGCCGCTATATAGAGTAGAAATTAATAAGAGATTTCCCTTCTAAAACGYRAGTAAAAAAGTAACAAACTACTACATTATATTACGAGAAAGGAAGTAAAAAGAGAGTTACGAGATTAAAGCACTTTCTATTTAACTATAGATAACTTAAGTTAATCTTTAAACTTCGGGAGATTTCTCTAAGAGAGTCGTATACGAGGCGTAAGAGAGGCGGAGGCTATTAACGACCGTTCTCGCCGTTATTAGACATAGATCCGCGAAACTCGAATTACGGATCGACGCGACCGCGAGGCGTAGGCGAACCGTTAGCTTCCTCCTCGCTCTCCGAAGAAGATTCCTCTAACTTATCTCTACTAAGGGCAGCATCGAAAGCATCTAAACTCTAGTTCTACATCTATAGCTACTATAATCTATAATTAGCTATGCTCGTAATCGAACTATAAAGGAGAAAGGAAGACTTATAACTCGAACACCCTAAGCAATCGTAGCTACATTATTAGCGAGGCGTATACTACTTTTAACTATAGCGTAGTTAACTCTACCGCTACTACTAGAAGCTAAGGCTAACGCCTTAAGACGCTTCTTCTTAGCACGCTTAAAAGCCGTATACTTCTTCGAGAACGTCGTAGTAGTTTCCTTTAAGTAAGCCTTCGCGTCCTTAAAGTCCTTATTACCGGAGTCTAATATCGTATTAGACTCTCGCTATACGATAGCGGTAAGCGTACGCATCGCGGGCTCTACCTTAGCGCATTCGTAGCGAGAATCGCTAGAGAGGTTAGCGATCGAGTAGATAATAAGACATAAGCGAGTAGACTTACGCGCACTTAAGATACTTTATAGGTGCTATACTAAACACTATATTATAGTTAATAGCGCTAGGATAGCCTTTACCTACTTTCTTAAGGTAAGTAAGGTAGGACTACGGCTTATCGACAGCGCGGCGCTTCGACGCTAGCGTAACTAGCGGAGGGCTCGTAGGGCGAGCGCGCTTTCCTCGCTTAGGAGGTATAGTCGTGTTCTTAATATAGTAGTTATTGTTACTTAAAGAGTTTCGGAGAAACTACGAAAGTATTAGCTACGGCTTAGTTGCTACGTAAACATTATAATAACTGCTTACCTTAGAGATCGACAAATACCGTCCGCATTTAGCGATAAGGCGAGTCGCTAGCGACAATATGTCGAGATAATTATCTACACCCTTACTACGGCTATAGCAATTAAGGGAATTAAACCCTCGCTATTCTTAGTACGGCATTTAGCCTACTAGAATGAATATACGTTAATTATTATTACGTTTGATATAGCCTTAACCGGCTAATTAATAGGGCATTTATATAAAGACTAACCTAAGGCCTTTAGAAAGATGTAGTAGCTATCGCGGTTGCGAGTCCCTAGCGGATCGTATATAACATGCTAAGGGACGAGTTTTGAATTTATTAATTCGTTAGGCGGACCCTTTAATCTTTATCGCTTTTCCTCGGGAAAAAGCATATAGGGATTAAGCAGCGTAGAAGCCGAGCGCGTATCGCCCGCGGGGCGCTTACGACGCGCACTC